CACTCACACACCATATTATTCGTAAATTCTTAACTAATATACGTAGCTAATAAATAAGACTTCTCTATAGCGTACCTGTTTTAACTCAGTTCAATAAAAATGTCTAGTAAGTAGGGCTCAAAGTTTTAGTTCCTCTGAGCACTGTTTACATATTTAGGAAACACATAACATTTGAAATTGAATTTCGCATTGCATAAAGTAAGGTGTATCGACGCACTATTTTATGGCTGGACGTTAGCAACTGGATGCAAACTTTTTTGAAACTACCTAACAGACTCTTCAGCAGAAGCAGTAGAAAATATACAGAAGACCAGCAAATATATAATAGATTGTGAAGACAGAAGATCGTGTGAGATTGTTTCGTTCACAGAATGTGATAATGAAAGGATTCGATAAAATATTAAATGAAATTTTATAAAATATCAGCTATGAGAAGTCTTATTTATTAGCTACGTATATTACTTAAGAATTTACGAATAATATGGTGTGTGAGTGGGTGTGCGTTTGCGTATATTCAAAACCAACTACATCAACACCACACCCCACCCACACCCACACCCTCAGACGATTAAATATGGTTTTTAGCTTTTTGGCTCACAGTTTTCAGAATAAAAGTGTGACTGTCTGATTTACTTACATTCACGCCTGTAGTGCGAAACTTAAGTCTTCATCTCTTTCTTGCAGAATCTCTGTTGATTTTATTTAGTTTCAGTAAAGTCTTTGCGATCAGATTTAAGCACAGTTATTAGCAAGAAATTAAATGTCAGTTCTGAAAAGCACACACTAGCGATAGGCCTAAAGTCATTCAAAAATCTCAAGAACATTCAGTTGCAAGAAACTCGGTAGAACGGATCGGTTTCTATCGAGAGAAACCAAATTGTATGTATTACACTGTGTTAATTTTGATTGCTCTAGAAAGACTAGTAATCAGATGACGCAACAATTGCCGTCTAATAGAAGTGAACGTTTTGTTAACAGTGGTATTAAAGAGCTTCAAGAAGCAAATCGCAATCCTATATATGGCTATCAACATTTACCTGTTTTACCATTAGAGGAAACTCTGCAAAGCGTGGTAACACTTATTCCTGGACTCATGGTTTACATTGCTCTTGCTAAAGAGAATTGTTATCAGCAACAAACCACTTTGACATTGGATGAATCAGCAGCAATCTATCTCTACACTATGGGCACACCTTTCTATTCCTGTCTTAATAAATTGTTGCGAACTGAAAATCGAAATAATCTGAAACCATGGTTTTCTTTTTTAAAACTGTTTATATCGGCTCTGGATAAGTTGCCATCGCTTGTCATTAATGTATGGCGAGGTGTTGTGGGTGATGCTGCTTCTGCATTCATAGGTGACAGTGAGCACACCTGGTGGAGTGTGAATTCATGTTCAAGAAATCCTGAAGTTGTCAAGATGTATTTGGGTGAGACGAGTACTTTGTTTACAATAGATGCAATTGAAGGCAAAGATATTACTTTATACTCGAATTTTTCACAAGAAGAAGAAGTTATCTTGAAACCAGGAACCCGATTACGTGTCAAAGTTCAGCCTCTCAACTATTTAGACCGCCTCTTAATTGTTCCTCTGCAAGAAAAATATAAAAATAGGTAAAGTATAATGGTGTTTCAATTTTTACATATCTAATTAGCCCCACAATAAGTAAAAATTTTCAAAGCAATACTCACCTATTTTTCCGAAGATGAGCCGAAGTACTTAGGGGTACCCACAAGTAGTGGCGGAGGTACATTATTGTCGTATAGAAGGCTTGAGAAAATTTTCTTTTTATATGAAATGATAGAGAAAATAAAACTCTATTTTTCTGTACTATTTCATCCCTATTCACCTGGT